TTGGGGTCACTTTTAGTTGTCATAATAGTTGCTGCTAGCTGTGTAAACACAACAACTTCCTGTCCTCAGGATTCAAAATTTCAACTTTAGCTTCAAGGCCGCTTTGTGGCTCTCTCCTTCTCCTCCCCACCCCTGTAGCAGATAATATGTGGTCTGGTTCCCACATACCTACCTTCCCACCACATCTCCTGCTGGTGATGGCCAAGAGAAAAGAATGGAAGAGCAGTGCCTGGTGAGACTGAGATTTTTGTGCTCAACGTGGACAATGTTATCGGACGGGAGATTGGCTTCCAAGTGGAAAGTTCCTGGTTAAGGATTCACCCTCAACTGCAAGCTCAGGTCCTGATCTGGCAGCCTGATGTCCATGTCTTTGGATTTTTGTTTGTTTGTTTGTTTCTCGAGACAAGGTTTCTCTGTGTAGCTTTGCGCCTTTCCTGGAACTCACTCTGTAGCCCAGGCTGGCCTCGAACTCACAGAGATCTGCCTGCCTCTGCCTCCCGAGTGCTGGGATTAAAGGTGTGTGCCACCACCGCCCGGCTGTGTGCCACATTTTTGCTCAAAGCTGTCACATTCTGAGACAAGATCAAAGTCCCACATGTAACCTTCTCACTATCAACTTCCAGGACTTTTAGCCTTATGTAGCCTCCATCTTCCAACCCCTTTGGAAGCTATGATTTAGTGGGCAGTCTTGACCCCCTGCTTCTCCTGGCAGTCCCTGGTGCATGCCATCTATTCGACAGGCACTTTCTACTCTGATAATGTAGGAACTATGCTACTCTCCAGACAAGAGTGGTGTGTGAGAGACCCATGGGTCTGAGGACAAGAAGCAGCCAGCCCTAGCTCCAGCCCCTGCCCCAGCCCCAGCCCTTACCCCAGCCCAAGCCCTTGTTTGGGGGATTAAACAGTCCTAGATGAGTATCTGGGTCATGTTTCCATCTCCAGTCTCACTCCAGACTCTCCTTCACACAGCGGCTGGAGTTCCCGTTCTAAAACCCAAAGCTCACCACGCCATAGCTTTGTGGACAGCTCTCCTATGGCTCCCATTCCTTCAGCAGCTCGGGAAGCAATGCTTGGAAGACAAGCTGGTGAGGGGGCTAGAGTCTGAGCACACAGGACCTTGACTCTGAACAAGTACTGTGTTCTATGTCAGCAACGTTGCTCCTTTGAAAACAAATCCCTGAGCACCTACTGTCTACAAGGATGCAATACAGTCTCGGACCTTACGCTGCAGAGCATGGCTGGATCATGTCACAGCCATGTACCCTCAGCCCAGGAGGAAAGACAAGGCTCTTTCTTCTACACATACAAGGTAGGGTTTTCCAGTAGGCCCTCTACCCCTTATGATGACTTTCTATTCATGAACATCCTTTTCTAAAACCATGGAACAAATACCTTGGGATCAAAAAGGTCGTTGTTTCTATTTCATCACAACACCAAGCAGTGTGCTCAGACATGGTGAGTGCTCAGACATGGTGAGTGTTCAGTCACGGTGAGTGCTCAGACATAGTGAGTGCTCAGTCACGGTGAGTGCTCAGACATAGTGAGTGCTCAGTCACAGTGAGTGCTCAGACATGGTGAGTGCTCAGACATGGTGAGTGCTCAGTCACGGTGAGTGCTCAGACATAGTGAGTGCTCAGTCACAGTGAGTGCTCAGACATGGTGAGTGCTCAGTCACGGTGAGTGCTCAGTCATGGTGAGTACTCAGTCATGGTGAGTGCTCAGACATGGTGAGTGCTCAGACATGAGTGCTCAGACATGGTGAGTGCTCAGTCATGGTGAGTGCTCAGACATGGTGAGTGCTCAGTCACGGTGAGTGCTCAGACATGGTGAGTGCTCAGACATGGTGAGTGCTCAG